CTTCTTGCTGATCCTATAATGGCCTTTTGGCTCTTTCTTGTCAGGACAAAAAAAAAAAAAAAAAAAACCCAATGGCTGGGGAGAGCCATGGCCCATGAGGGCCACACATTCCATACTAAATCTCTGAATTTTGGGGGACATAGCCCATTTGCTAAAAAGATGACCCAACGAGTTGCAAGATCTTGAAGCCCAGCCCAGAAAATGCCTTTCTGACTCAACAACACCCAGCACCACTGCAAGTTGATTTTTAAAATTGTAAGTGGAGAATAATAATTTGTTATACCAACGTTTTGTCATTAGAATTTAGAAAGGGAAGTTTTGACCTCAGCTACCCAATAAGACAAATTAGTACTTGCTCCTAAATCCTTCATTTGTGGGGTTTTTAAGAAGCAATTCCATTAAAAATTTAACGCCCTCCAACAATAAGGTACCACAAACGTGTTATTTTATATATTAACTAAAGATATGGATCTGAGTAACTTAATCTCCATTAACATAAATTAATCGACTCAAATCTTTATTTTAGACAATATTCGTGTGCATTTGGTCGAAGGGTCTTATCAATATTAGACTCTGATGATCCCGTTATTATAATTCGATTATTGCACTACTAATATAAATTAATATGTTGTTACTTCAAATTCAAGAATTTCAATGATAATTGGATGGAACTGATTTTTCTTTTTCTTTTTTTTTTTTTTTTTCTTTTTTTTTTTTTTACGGATGGAACTGATCAAATATATTAACTTATATACAAAATGAATCGGGATTTCAAATGTTAAAAATTATCACAACATTTGTATGTATGACTTTCGTTTCTTTTTCTTTTTAGCTTGATTTATGCTTGTTTCTATATGTGTGCATTCATTTCTCATTTTCTCCAATTTTTATACCTAATAAGAAATTCTAGATTTTTTGGTTTGTCGTTTGTTTGTTTGGATAATAAATTTCACACCAGTTGGTTGTATTAAATCTATAAATTGGTCCGGAGATCATGGAGGATCACTTCATGGTTGTTAACCAACAAATTGGAATCTCATAAAAGGTCCCACCAATAAATTGTCTTTTTTTCTAGTTTACTGGTACCTGTTTTTAAATCACTACGAGTCTTCAAAAGAAAAACAGATGCCATTAGATCAAAATACCGTCAGATACAAAGACACCGAAATTTGGAGGGGGTGCTGTGCACCAGGTTGGAGTCCTAATCCCACAGAGTTTCGTGTGCGCCAAAACCATACGGATAGATATTGAGCACGTTCTGTACACAACATCAGACTTATTCGAACTGTAAGTGTTATGTATAAACGAGCACAAGTAGTGCATGTACGATTCGAATGAACTCGGTGCATCAGATTTATTCGAGCCGTAAGTGTTATGTATGTGCAAGCACGTGGCGTGCTTGTACGATTCGAATGAGCTCAATACATGATATGCCAAATACATACATCCAATAACTTATTAAAATGATACAAACGGATCCACTTCTTAGATAGACTTTGACCGTGTTTGTTAATTGCCACCAAAAGTCCTTTCCTTCATATTCTTAGCTTAAACAATGAAAATTAAAAAATTATTGTGTGATGTTAAGTGATGAGATAACATAATCTTTCTACAATCAAACAGAAAGCTAAACATGCAGTACCAGATAGAGCATTGCTTACCCGCTAATTTTTAATCGTGGGACACAAAAAGAGGATATCACCTGGCTACCATGGTTTGGGGAATGTGACATTATTTTGTGTTAAAAGACTTAATGATCTCATTAATTATAATCTTGATATATGTATATGAGCAAACTATATATATATATATATATATATATATGAGGGACCTCTACTAATTAAGTAAGTTCAAACCAGCAAGTTGATTAACTAGCTAGCTACGATTAATATTGTAGGCGAATCCTTTTTAGCACGTTGCATTGGTAATAATAAACAAAAAAATTATTAGATTACCACAGCTGTTAATTAGATCTTCTTGTTGACCACATTCTTAAACTTATATATATCCTTCAATATTATGATGTTTACATGAAAACGTGAACGTGCTCATAAACCAGAGGTGTTACACATTCACCCATTAACGACTAGAAAAGTATAAAATAAAATAGAACTTGTTATTGAAATCAAATCGATCTGATTAACCATCCACTAGGCTGGCACATTTTAGGTAGAGATGTATAAGTAATTAATGATCAGATATTTATTACTAGTATCATTCAAGCTTGCCGATTGTTTTGTTTTGATTTTTTTATTACTAGGTTTACACCAGGCCATCAATCTTTCAAACTGGCAAATCACTTTTAACGCGTAGTTAGGAACTTAGGAACATGTTTAATTGAATAAAAATTCAATGGTATAATTTATTTACTTATATTTTTTTTATTGAAAAAAAAAAAAAATCACACATTCATTTGTCCGTTTTCTTTGAGCTGATGTCACTAATATATAAAGTTTATGTCAATTACTCAATGTGTTAACTTCTTTTCTCTTTTTATTTTTTTGTCTTTTCTTTTACTATTATAATCCGGAATAAATTATCATGGTTTTGAACCTCAGATCTTTTTCAATTGTGACCATGAGTTACAATTTTAAAGAGGTCTATGTATGAAGAAATTTTATAATATTTTGGGGTTATTTTGACAAGTGATATTCCTCTCTATCCAAGTTTTCCATATATTTTGAAATACTCCCACTTCTTTATTTACTAAAAAACAAGAACTTTCATTGAGAACTTTTGCTGTATGAAGAAATTTTACAAAATTTTGAGAATATTTTGACAAGTGATATTCCTCTCTATCCAAGTTTTTCATTTATTTGGAAAGACTCCTTTTTTTTTATTAATAACAATGGGTTAGTGGCTTAACGGTACCAAATCCCTACATTCTAAAGAATGTAAGAAATTCGAACCTTGATAGAGACATATGTGCGTGAGTACCAACTAGAAAAATACATGTATATAAAATATCTTTAATTTTGTTATTTAAAATATCTTTACATATATATTAAAAACATATATATAATTTGTTCTGCATTGTAGGTACTACAAATTTTTAGGTTTTATATATTTAAAATATAATTTTTACCCTTTTGCGACACCAAAGAGGGTCGGTAATAAATTGTTTTGAGTCCCAATAGGCCAGGTATCTTCTACAGAAATATGGCGTTGGAATTGTGTAGTCTTTTGCGACTCCATTTTAGGAGTCACAAATAATAGGCTATTTTCGACGCCCTATTGTGTCACAAATACTAGCATTCTAGCATATATTCGACGCCCTATTGTGTCACAAATACTAGCATATTAGCAATAGGGTTATTTTCGACTCCCAAAATGGGTCGAAAATTAATGTGACTTTTGCGACCCCGTCATTAGCGACGCCAATTCGGCGTCAACAATAGGGGGTCGGAAATTAGTATGGTTTTTGTGACCTTGCCCAAGATGCAACCCCTATTTGGGATCGTTAATATCCTTTTTCCGACACTATTTTTTTATTTTTACGACTCCTTTTAGGGTCGAAACTAACACTATTTGTTATAGTGACACCAGGTATTCTACCAATTAATTGTGAGGGGAACATCTTTATGATATTTGGTGAGGCTACACACAACAAACACACATTAGTGTGTATATATATTTTCCTTATTAATACAGGTATTGCTGGAAATACATTGATTGAGTTAGCGCCAAATTGTAAATGGACACCTCTGAGATCATAGTATTCACAAGTAAGGCAGGATGGAACTAACAGGGCGATAATGTACATCGATTTAAATTGTAAATAGACAGCTGTGAGATCATAGTATACCCCACGTAAGGCGGGGTGGAACTCACTAGACGATAATGATGATCATAACGATGTTGATAGATGAGTTTGTCTTCTTATTCCTTTATTATTATTATTATTATTATTTTGAAAGGTCAACAACTGTAGTATATAAATGTATAAAATGTTTACAGGAGTGTAAGAAACACCATGAGAAGTGAGGATGCATGAGAGAGGATGGAGAAGATTATAATGAAAAGACTAAAGAGTGATGGGATGTGTATATAATTCGACGGAGAAATAACAATTGAGAACTGAAGGAGTTTGAGATTTAAATAGAGAAATGAATTAAATGGCCACAAACGATGTCGTTTTGAGCTATAACAGAGTCACAGCCAGACAATTCACACACTCTTGGCAGATGAGAGTTGAAAATGAGAGACATACAATGAGAATGTCACAATGACATAATAGATTAGGATTGAACTTGCAAGGAGTATATAAATTCAATAATTAATTTGGAATTTTTATTTGGTGCATTACAAAATAAAATAAATATAGGGGTCTAAGGCTATGCTTTCTTTAGAGAGAGAGAGAGAGAGAGAGAGAGAGATATATATATATATATATATATGCGTGTGATATATATATATATATATATATATATATATGCGTGTGTGGGTTTTTTTTTTTTTTTTTTTCTCTTCCTGCAGATTTGATATCTTTCCATATCTAGTTGTTAATTAAGTTAAGATCAAGTGGCCATGATTCCAAAACGTCAACGAGATGGAGAGAGAGACAGCCTATATTTGAACAGTGATTTAGGAAGAGGACAAGATTTCACACGTGGGGAAGAGAGTAACAGATCTTGGGTCAGCTACTAACTATAAGAGGCCAGCGAGCTAAACAAGTCTCTCCATTGCCCACTTACTTGGAACACAAATTCTAAGTCCTCTCTCTGAACAAGGTAAACTTCCCTTCTCTCCTCTTATCATCAACTTCTTAGGGATTCTCTAAGTCTTCAGACACACACACACATATATATATATATATTATAATGTTTCTACAATTTATCAAGAACTCAACCATTGCTTGAGATTCCGAAACATTTTCCGTGTCTGTTAATTAGTAGTAGATTTTATTGCTTTGTTTTGAGCAGTTGTGCCATCTTTGATCTTTTCAGGATCTTCCTATCCTTATCTAACTGATAAAAGAAAGCATATATATAACTGTAATAATGGACATGTCCTCGGCTAGATGGATTTCTGAAATGGTAAGCTGATTTATACAATTTTTTATGTAATATTTCAACTTTTGGATAGTGGTTTCGTACAGCTTACTTCGGTATCATTAAAATATCTTCTTCTTAATTTTTCTTGTTTTGTGGGGTTTTTCAATTTACAGGGGATAGATGACTACAATTTCATGAATCACTCCCATATGAATTCTCTTGATGATTTCACCGCACAACAATTAGTAACTACAGTGGGAGAGAACATTCAACACTCTTTCTCTTCTAAGAGCTACAAAAATTCTGCTTCTTCTTATCCAATCTTCAATCCAAAAGGCAACACTACTACTGCTGCTACCACCTTCACTGATTCACCACAAGCTGAAATGAGCATGATGAATGCTAACACTTGGAAGTACTCTAGTACCACGGAAGAAGTTACTCCAAAAGCTGCTTCTTCATCTTCCTCCCACATCACTTTTGCGAATTCCGGCTCACCACCACCTTATACCAAACCTCAACACTTGTATGGAAATTTAGACTTCTCATCTATCAGGCCAAAGGATGAGATGATAAGCTTCCCATTGAATTCAGAGGGTTCCTACGGTAGCAAAAGCTATGCACAAAAAGAGAGTCAGGGTACAAAGAGGCCTCACACAATGACTAGGTCTCCTTCACATGCACAAGATCACATAATGGCTGAGAGGAAGAGGAGAGAAAAGCTCAGCCAGAGGTTCATAGCTCTTTCTGCCATTGTTCCCGGCCTAAAGAAGGTAATAATATCCTAAATCATCATCGATCTCTGTAAATCTTTCATTTCATGGAGTACCTTTATAGGATTCAGTTGCGTTACATATTATATATATATATATATATATATATATATATATATATATATATATATATATTAAAGTTATGGTAGCTAGTCGGAGATTTAACATATGATATATATCTAAGGTCCTGATAATTAAAATTCACGTGTTAATTGAAGTACCACCCTTCTAACTGTGGAACTTTCACAGATGGACAAAGCTTCTGTACTTGGAGATGCTGTCAAGTACTTGAAACAGCTTCAAGAAAGAGTGAAATTGCTGGAAGAACAGACAGAGAAGAAATCGGAGGAATCGGTTGTTTATGTGAAGAAGTGTCATATTTCTGGTGATGATCATGATGACTCTTCATGTGGTGAAAACTTCCTTGACGGCTCTAATGATGCACTCCCGGAGATTGAAGCTAGAGTTTCAGAAAAGAATGTACTGATTAGAATCCACTGTGAGCAGAAGAAGGGAATTCTAGTGAAAATTGTAAGCAAAATAGAGAAGCTTCATCTTAGTGTTGTCAATACCAGTGTGTTGCCATTTGGGAAATACGCCATGGATATAACTATTATCGCTCAGGTAATTAATTTTAATTGCACTTACATTCACACCATTTATAAGATCATTCAATATAATAATTAACCTGAAAGAAGAAAATTAAACATTCTGAATTATTCATCTCAACAAAGTCTTAAATTTCTATTTCATTTGCTGCAGATGGAAGATGAATTCTGCATGACAGTGATGGATCTAGTGAGGAGTCTTCGATCGGATTTTCTAGAGTTGGTGTGACTTGCATATATATATTTATTTATTCGGTATTTATTTTTGTACATTTGAAAACTTGGAAACAGCTAGGAACAAACCTAGATAATTTAAGCTACGCCTGTGAATCTTGATCTCTATTAATATATAAGCCACTTTGACACTGTCAAAGCTTGTTTTGCCGCGAATTAAATTGGATATATATGCATTAGGGTTTATTATTGTATGTATGTATGTTATTTATTTATTTTTTTTTTGTTGCGTGGTGGACTTGCTAGACCACGTTTAATCAAACACATACCAGAAAACAAAATAACTTTGTACATTTCCCACGTGGCAAATGTTAACAATTGAATTTGAAATTATATTGTCATGCAATTTAGGGTAAATTTTAGTTACTTCTTTTCACCTTTGTCAATACTCTACATTTCATAATCTCATTTATTTCCTTTTTCACCTTCAACATAATAACAATAATGTGTTAATTTTAAAGTTTTGACAGGCTTGCAGTCATTTCAAACATTAGATGAACAAAATCAACCTTTTACTGTTGAATAAATATTAGAGATAATCAGACATCCTTATCACACCATTTAGTTTTTACAACGAAATTAAATTATCAATCCTCGAAAGGGATATTTAAAAATATTTTTTTAAACAATGTGAGAATGTTTCCGATGAACAATGGTTATTTATTTGTGTGTGTGTAAGTAAAGTGTAATTTTTTTTTTTTTTTTTTTGGTCATTGGCAAGAAATTCATACACATCATTCACACATCCACTTTGCTCATTTGAAGATTTGAACCATCACCATCCACTTTAGGGAGTAGGGGAGATACCACTAGACGACAAAGCCCTTGGTGAAGTGTGAATATCATTCCCAATCAAAATTCCTTGATTCTTTAATTTGATTTTTTTTTTTAAAATAAAAATAAAAATCAACCCCCTCTATATGCAAATTGTTGTGGCATTCAAGTTCTTGTTTGTCATGGAAGAAAGTTTCAATTTTATCGTTTTTGGTAGGAGGATCTATCACAGTGAGAAAATTTTAGCTTTATTAAGTTTCCATTTGGTTAGATATAAATTGATAATGAAAGTGAAAATAAAAGAAAGTGAACTAAGTAAAAAAAAAAATCTATTATGCATTTGTTTAGAAAAAATTTCAAATGAGAAATTTTAAAACATGAAACCTAGATAAAAGAAATAGTATTATTGTAAGTTCATAAAATTATCTCAAGAGATCAAAAAATTTCCTATAGTTTTTGCAAGAAAATTTTACACAGCATATACATATTTATATATATGGTATAATTTTCAATTCTTCTTTTTTGTTGGTCGAAGAATCCAGCTTTAACCATTTTCAAGATTTTTTTTTTTTTTTTGGTGCGAGTTAGATGCCATATATATAGCCAAGTATCATCGTCAAAGAAGCTTCACAACTGCCAATTATGTATGATAAAGTTGTTTTCATAGTACATAATTAAATATCATTATTCAAGAAGCTTTAGAGATGGAATTTTGAGCAACTAACATACTTTAATAATGCATCATTATTTTTTCAATGCATGACAAAGCCTTCGATTTTATTTATTGAAAAAAAAAATCCCTTCGATTCCATGTGCCAACTAAGATGGAAGAAAATTCAACAACCATCTTTGAATGACCACTCGAATCATACAACAATGCTACCATGACAAACACTCTTTGTAATATGTTATTATATTATTTCAATTTAATGAATATTTAATCTCTTTTAGAAAAAAATAATTTATTCACTAAAGTAATAAATCTTTTACTTGAAAAAAACATGCAAGTTTCTTATACTTTTACAGAAAAAACGACTAATTAAATAATTAAAATTTTAAATAGGAAGAAACTTTTAGAAAAAAAAAACTAATTAATAAAAAAAAAAAAAAAAAAAAAAAAAAACTAATTATTCAAGAAGCTTTAGAGATGGAATTATGAGCAACTAACATACTTTAATAATGCATCATTATTTTTTCAATGCATGACGAAGCCTTCGATTTTATTTATTGAAAAAAAAATTCCCTTCGATTCCATGTGCCAACTAAGATGGAAGAAAATTCAACAACCATCTTTGAATGACCACTCGAATCATACAACAATGCTACCATGACTAACACTCTTTGTAATATGTTATTATATTATTTCAATTTAATGAATATTTAATCTCTTTTAGAAAAAAATAATTTATTCACTAAAGTAATAAATCTTTTACTAGAAAAAAACATGCAAGTTTCTTATACTTTTACAGAAAAACGACTGATTAAATAATTAAAATTTTAAATAGGAAGAAACTTTTAGAAAAAAAAAAAAAAAAAAAAATTTAAATTGACAGGGTAAAAAAATGAATTGCTAAGAAAATATTAGACATTAGCAACTTTTGTGCAGAAATTCAAGTTGTAAATTCTAATTTGAGAATGGCATAAATGGAAATTTGAGATATTTAAAGCTCATATGGAAAAGGGTTAAAAATTAGAATTTTTCGGTGATCAAAATGACAAAAATTATCGGTTCATGATTTTTTTGTTTGTAAGCAAGCAATTTTTATTCGAAAATCCGGAATAATAGTGCCCGCCAATTATATTTTGTTTATTCCTATCATCAAGCATGTATTTTGTGTGTTAATATTAGGGGTGCAACTTGAGTTAGGTAACCCGAACTAACTCGAGCCCAACCCGAATTTTTACGGGGTTGGACAATTATTTTTATAATTAGGGTTGGACTTGGGTTGAAAAATCTCAACCCTAATTTAATTAGGGTTGGATTTAGATTGAAGTACTAACAACCCGAGTCAATCCGAACCCGAATTATAATATTATTTTTATATATATTTTTACTTTAAAATACATTATATATAATATTTAAACTATGATTACTTTTTCTCTTTTCAATTCTTTTATTAAATCTTAACTTATCGTATGTTAACATTTAGAAGAATTAATTTTTTAAAAATTTGTTTGTAATTTATTAAAAATTTATAAAAAAAAATCTTTAAACTTATTATTGTTTAAGAGTAACTTAATCTAAAATTAATTCAAGATCATATTAAATTTTTAGTATAAATATTAGTCATATGTGTAACCCGAATTAACCGAAGGTTTAATCCGGAATTTAAACCCGAGTTGCAAGTCCGAATTTCAAAGTAGAAAGATGGGTTGGGCTCGGGTTGAGTAATTAAAGTTGATAATAGGGTTAAGATTGGGCTTGAGTTTAGCATTTTGTATGATGAATTGAGCTCAAGTTATATCTCAAATCTGCCTAATCCGCTCAACTTGCCCGAATTGCAGTCCTAGTCAATATAAGTAGGAAGAAAATCATATTGATCGGTTGGGAATACTAAAAAAGGGAATGGCTGTTACGAACAGATTGTTTTTGGGCCATTTTGAATTAACACACACCAAAGCCCAGCCCAAAATGGGATGGCTGTTACGGGCTTGGGCAGAAAACTCTTGCCCAACAAAGAAAATTCAGTGTGTTTCCTCTGTTAATGTTATGTTATGCTTTGGTATGTGTTTGTAGGGGTGGCAAAATGGGTCATAATCCATCAACCTGTTCGTATTTATCCGTTTTAAAATAGTTTTGGATGAACTATATTTAAAGTAGGTCAAAAATGAATTAGATAATTTTTAGGTCAAAATTACCCATATTCAACCCATATTTCACACATCACATAATAAATACATAACACACGTTTATTTATTTATTCTATATTGCACTCAACTCATTTCTCTCTCTCTCAAATTCTCTCACTCACTATCTTCTCTCTCTCTAAATTTGTCTCTCATCAATCCCCTCTCTCTAAGTTTATCTCTTTAGAAATTTCTTCTCTTTCCTTCACTTCTCTCCCTAAAAGGAGTTGATTAATATTACTGAGTTTGAAATTGTTTTTTTTTTATTTGTTATTAAATAAATTTTAAAACTTGAAAAATAATAATAATAATTAAATAAAATAATTAAAAAATATAATTAATTAATTAATAATAATTAATAATAAATATTTAAAAATAATTAATAATTAAATAATAATAATTAACGAGTTTACGAGTCATAACATATTGATCTGTACATTTTTAACCCGTTCATTTTCAACCAAGCCAAAACCCGACTCAACCCACCCATTTGCCACCCCCTTGGTGCTTGCATTTAACCCATGAAACTCGTTCCTCTCTGCATGATCATCGGGCTTCAGTTATCTGTGAATTACTAGGAAGAAGCAACCACAATCTGAGATAATAGGATTTTCTTTTCTTGATCAAATTTTGATTTCAGCTCCAGAGAGATGAAGAAGGTGGTGGTGGTGGCGGCAGCAGTGACAACGGCTGCGACCGTTATAGCAGTGGTGGCGGTAGTGAGGCAGTGGAAACAGAGGAGCCAGAGGTGGAAGCAGAGCCAACGCATTGTCCGTAAATTCGCTCGAGAGTGCGCAACACCCGTCCCACTGCTTTGGCATGTGGCTTGTGACTTGGTGTCTGATATGCAGGCTGGCCTCGCTTCAAGTCAGACCAACCTCACCATGCTTGTTTCCTATCTTGCTTCTCTCCCCACCGGGTACTCTTTTCTCTCTCTCTATCTATCTATCTATCTATATATATATATATATACATATGCACATATATGTTATACTAAATGGATTTATTTGTGGCGACAGGGATGAAAAAGGAGTATACTATGGATTGAATCTAAGGGGAACGAATTTCTCCATGTTGCGCGCACGACTTGCAGGAAAGAATGAAGCATTATCTGAGTTACAGAGGGAGGAGGTATTGATTCCGTCTGATGTCATGGCTGGTGCTTCTAAGGTACTTATTTGGTACCAAAATTCTTATTCATCTTTCTTTTCTTTTCTTTTTTAAGATGTCTCAATTGTCCCAATTAAATAATTAAGTTAGCAAAGGCTAAGATGAATTGTACTTTCTTATCTTTCAAAATAGAAAGTCTAGAGTTCAAATTGGCAACTTGTGTTTTCTTGTTAAAAAATATATATATTTATTTTTTGTTGGTGCTACAGATGAGTATGAACTAGGTGGTGGCAATTATTCAAATTTCGCATTTGAAAATCCAAATGTGTTGAATGTTGAAAGAGTTAGAAACTTAGAAATAGGCAGGTCTATTCAATTTTGATTGGGCTTGAGTGAAAATGTTTTGCTCAGACATCTTAAATCAATTTTTTGAACCGACTTAGCTTTGAACTTGGCCATTAATCAAATGTACCACATCACCATGCAGGATTTTAATGTTCAATTTCAGCTAGCAAACCACTTAATAGTTAATTTTCATTTAATTGTTGAAGTCTGACATGTTGCCTAAATCTCATCAGAATAAGTATTCCTTTTAATTGATTTTACATCAGCTTATATACAATATTTTATTCTCTTTCAGGAGTTGTTCAGCTATATTGCTGTAGAACTAGCAAAATTTGTTTCAACAGCAGATAATGAGAATACTAACAACGATACAGAAGCAAGACAAATAAGACTGGGATTTACAATATTGTCCTTTCCAGTCGACCAAGTCACGGCGTCGTCTTCTGGCACTGCCATTAAATGGCCAAGTTTCTCCGTTGATGACACGGTTGAGTTTGCTCCCTTTTCTCTTCATTCTTTGGATTAGCAAACAGCAATGTATTCCCATTGCACTTGACGTAGAATGTGTTATGATAGCATTCTCAATTATGTTATATTTTGTCCTATAGAATTATACTAAATGATGTGATTATCTGAAATCAGGTTGGGCAAGAACTGGTGAATGATATCAACCAGGCTTTGGAGGAACATGGTGTGGACATGCTTGTTTTTGCATTGGTAAGCTGCTTCATATAGTCGATATGGTTCTTCTCTTAAATGTGCATTTCTTGGCATAAGATAGATGAGAGATTTTGTTCAAAGTTTGGGGATGGATGAGTCTACAGGTTGATGATACTGTTGGGGATTTGGCGGGAGGTAGATACTACAACAAAGAGTGTGTGGCTGCAATTACTCTGGGAATGGGCACGAATGCTGCTTATTTAGAGCCAGAAGCACAAGCAGTTCCCAAATGGCACGGCAGGTCACCCAAATCAGGAGAAATGGTCAGTAACTAGTATTGTTGTGTGAACTTGCATATGCAGCTGATGGAACAATAGTCAAATGGATGAATGTTTTTAGTTTTGCAGGTCATTGACATGCAATGGGGGAACTTCAATTCCTCTTATCTTCCAAAAACCGAATTCGATGCTTCTTTAGATGCAGAAAGCTCAAACCCTGGCAGTAAGGTATGGAAACTTGTGAATATTGATCTTACATGCGTGTCCATTTTTTTTAATTTTTTTTTATATATATATGTAGTATTTCTTCATTTGCTTCTAAGTTTTCTTTTGTCTCAGATCTTCGAGAAGCTGGTTTCAGGAATGTATCTGGGAGAGATTGTCAGGAGAGTCTTGCTGAAGATGGCTCAGGAAACAGCTTTTTTTGGAGATAGTGTGCCACCAAAACTTAGAATTCCTTACTCCTTAAGGTATACAAATTGTTGTTTCTCACTTCTCAGTGATTTTAGGGGGGATGGTTTGGTAAAATATTATATCTCTTAGTTTCAATTGAAATTAGGTCTTTAAATGTTCACTTTGATGTTTCAATTAGGTCTCCTGATATGGCTGCCATGCATCAAGATTCATCAGAGGATCGTGATGTGGTTGATGAGAAACTAAAAGAAATATTTGAGGTAAGCTTTGATTGCTTCTAACTTTTTATTATTATTATTATTATTATTTTTATTTTTTTTTATCTTGATCCCTCCCTTTTTTGTATTTTTGTGTGTGTGTGTGTGTGTGTTTTTTTTTTTTTTCCTGAAAAAACTGTTCCAATTCAAAAATTATGTTCCTATCACTGGTAGATCACCAATTCAAGTCCGATGGTGAGAGAAGTGGTTGCAGAGGTCTGTGACATTGTAGCAGAACGTGGAGCGCGTCTTGCAGGGGCTGGCATAGTGGGGATCATAAAGAAGCTTGGAAGAATCGGTAACAAGAGAAGTGTAGTGACAGTGGAAGGTGGGCTTTATGAGCACTACAGAGTCTATAGAAACTATCTACACAGCAGTGTTTGGGAGATGCTTGGAAATCAACTCTCAGACAATGTTATTATTGAGCCCTCTCATGGTGGGTCAGGAGCTGGTGCTCTCTTTCTTGCTGCTTCGCAAACACAAAATGCAGATTCATAGTACTAAGAGTTTCCAGACTAGATGGTCTTTTTAGCAGATTGCTAACAGTTTCATTTTTGGCAACAACTTTATAATCTCAATATCGTGTGAATGTCAACTTCGTCGTTCAATTTTAACTTGTTCAACTTCTAATGACCATGTTGGAATTTTTTTTTTTAAAGAATTAGAATTGTAACAAACAAATATATCCGATTATTGCACTCGTTTTCTTACAATGTGATGAAATAAAGTTTTAATTTCCGAAACCAAGAAGCTAGCCCAATTTGCTTTCTTCCCAGAATGCCTTGGTCATGTGTCACAAGTAAGTGCAACAAATACATAGTAAAAAAGAATTAGTTGAATATTGCTAGTACAATGCACTACATCGTAGTAGTGCAACAAATACATGAAAAAGAGCACAACACAATAAATTTCACAAAAAAAAAAAAAAAAAACCTACTCTCTCTAGGGGAAACGAACCCACTCGTCCCAAGCACTTTCGAAGAGCAAGCAGTTCTTATGTCTAGTTTTGGTAAAATGAAACCACTTTCTACATTATTCGATAAATTAAAATTTCATCTACACCGATAGAAGCAACCCCATAAGCACACGGAAAGTCGCTTCAGTCTGCTTTTGTTACAAAAAGACGCTACACTTATTTTCAGGATAAGCAAATCTTCAGAGTTTAAAAGGCTTAGAGACCGTGTCATTAAGCACCCACTCATTTCTTGGCGAAGGAAAATCCCTTCTCAATGCTTCCCATCAACTCCTTCTTTGCCTTCTCCAAGCCAACCCTGTGAAAAATGATTGGGCAACAGAAAACCTGAATTTCCATCTGAAGTTTTAAACATTTATGAAGAAAAAAAAAAAAAAAAAAAAGATGCTTATAAAATTTTAAGCTGCAACAATTACAGACCTCTCATATTCATTTAAGGGACCAAGTGGATGTATCTCCTCAACACCAGTACGGCCAAGCCGTACCTTGGATGCAAAGAAAGGAAGTTCAGTCACCTGGTAAGGACAAAGAATTAGTCCTTGCACAAAAATGGAGTTCGTGATTATATGTATATGGAAAGGGGCAGATTCAAGAGATGATCTAAACAACATGAAAAGCAAATAGCATACCGGAGAAGCCACAAAAGCACATTCAACAATGCCAGCATCTCCCCTCAAACCCCGTAAGCATGCATCAGCAAATTTAACAGCAGCGTATGCCTGTATGCGTTATGTACAAATTTCTTTAATCTTTTGTGAGCACAGCCAGTCGAAAACTCATAGGTCCTCTTAGAAATAACAAAAACTAGTATATAACTAAAATCAGATAATTGTAAAAACTAACAAACCATTGACAGTGTAGCAGATCCAGATCCAGCTTTTGCCTGCACCAGAGGTCATCAATTCTAATTCAGATATGGTTGGAGTTCAAAAAACATAATGAAAAAAAAAAAAGCTCCCCAAAAAAGAATGAAAAGAGAAGGGAGCAAACTCAACTAAAGCTAAATTGAAAAATAGTTCACCAATTAAAAAAGACATGGTGTGTTAAAGGATACTTGGTTCTCTATTCATTAGAAGTAAAAGGAACTTCAAAACATGTTGTGTTGAAATATTTAGTTTTTGAACATGCCAAATTTTAAATTCTTCATAAAAATTGAGATTTTGAATATGTCAATGTATAAATTCCTCATAAAAATTAAAATAAAATAACAACTGAACTAAATGATGCACCCCATCAGTTTTTCTCAATATTCATTAGAATTTTACTCATGGCCAGTTAAGTGGTAATAGTTTTCAGAAAAGCACATCATACTAAAAGAAGCAATACTCTAGTGGAGAACCGGAGATCATTCCAGCAAAAGGAGTAACGCATATCACCGCTATCAAACTAGTTATGAGACAAGAGAAAATAAGTGAGAACATTCTAGTGTAACCCATGCTCAAAATCTGCAGAATGACAATACATCTATTAAATTGACAAACTAGGTCTGTTTCATACAATCTATTATAAGACCAACAAGCACATATCCAACTTTCAGGTGGCATTGGTAGTACTACAACCACAAGAACATCATGCACCCGTCAAAGTGATTGTCATTACACTATCTTGAATCATCATTTCCACTAAGACCAAGACATATATTAGTGCATTAGGCCCATCAGAAGAATCAAATCCATCCACATGGTGATAATCCAAGTCACACTTACAACTATCAATCTATCATGCAAGTCCACCCAGATAAATAAAGTTGAGCACAACTTCAAAGAATATCAAACTAACTTACAAGTAAAAGACAGAATTTAAAGCTGAATTGGACATTAAATGAGCAGAAAATTTTCTAAAAGTTAAACATACTACTTTACCTCGACAACTTCAGTTCCACCATTCTGAATACGAGTTGTCAGATAGCCAATTTCTTCAGGGGTGAAAGAGCATGGAGGCTTAACCTGTATAAATTGTGAACATTTTGATATGACGAGAGTTATTTTACAGAGAACATCGTATTCAGAAAGCATATGAAGTGGACATAAAAGAATTCATAACTCAAGTAAGTTATCTTGAACCTGAGACAAAAGAGGTAAAATCGTAATCCCTGCATGACCCCCTACAACTGGAACATCAACTTCCCTTGGATCAAGTCCCAAAACTTCTGCCTTCAAAACATAGAACGAAACAGTCAATGCCAAATGTAAAAACCAGAAGATACCAAAGCATATGACATGAAAATTCCGGCTTAGGTAACTTCCATGCAACTCTATTTCATCAAGATTATCACACAAAAATTCCTGTATACCATAGTGTTCGAAACCAACCATATTAGCAATAGACCTCTTAATAGCTCACAACACTGTATTTCAAATAACAAGTATTACAGCTCTACGGTGTTTATTAAATAATTAAAATAATTAATTCTTAATTTCCATTTACATTTAAAATTCCCAAGGCTTTATTGTTTCTATGCACATCAATGACTTTCAACAAGGACATAATACATTAACCAGGCAGGAAGACAAAAGGAGAGTATATCCAAAAGTGGTAGAACATTAGTAAAATTAAGTGTACAGGATAAAATTTGACCAAGTATTAAGAAGAAATCTTCTCTGCAGGCTCAATAACATGGACTAAACAACTTCCACCAAATATGTTGAGTGTATATTAAGAAGAAATCTTGTCTAAGTAACACTTACATGACATTTTTTGGCAGCCTATTGGTCTTGAGCCAGCAAATTATTGCAGTTGAAGCAAAAGGTGATTTGGCAAATAATTTTCCAGTAGTTGGATCATGAAACACCACATTTAAAGCAACCATTTCAACCTAATTAACATGAACTATATACTAAAATTATAGAACTACACCCACTTCTGGACGAAGAACCCAAACTATTGTCAAAGTTAGTAAGTAAATCATACCACAAAAGTATTGGCTCTGACAACATCAAGCATTGTAACTCCTAAAAGTAGCTTTGGATCATAGGTGCCAGCTTTCTTGAAAACCTCAGCTGCAATAGGAACTGTAGAGTTTACAGGATTACTGATCACGTTGACAATGGCCTTTGGGCAGCACTTCGCAATTCCTTCACATAGGGTTTTGACAATTCCAGCATTAATGTTGAACAGGTCATCCCTTGTCATTCCCGGTTTTCTAGGAACACCAGCAGGAATGATTACAAGGTCCATGCCTGTGAGGGCATCCTCTAATTGCTTTTGTCCTAGGAAACCTCGCACCTAAGAATCAATTGATTTAATTAAGTTCTGCAGACCATGTTCAAAGAAATATCAGAACTTGAGATGATGGAACCTTTTTGTTTGATAAGTAAAAACCAACAAATCAAAAAAAAAAAAAAAAACAATGTACTTGAATTTTATGTTCTATGTTCTTCTTGTTTTGGTTTTGAATACAGGAAAACGTCGCCAAAACTAAGACATAATAGTTAAATTAGGATTAGCAACACAAATTTGGTCCCTTGATCCCTTGGGTCCAAAACAATGCTTTGAAACTCAATTCAACCCATTCCTTGAACTAGATTTGCTAAGGCCTGGTCTCTTCCCGGATGGAGTGACTCCATACACCTGAAATCTATAATATAGAAAAAGCAGAACAAGGTTAATTGGGTAAACATTTAACTTGTTCATCCATCTGACTCAAATGGTTCAAGCAGAGAATTTTATGTTACTAAAACACAAAAAAGTTAAATTAAGTTGGTAAGATACTTCAGTCAAGAATTTGAAAATAGAAACCTTTAAAATGACAAAGTATATCATTTACACAATAATTTTGTAAAACATAACATTAAGTTTAAACTCGTGTACATTGTTTCCTTCATCTGCTAGTTGGACTATTTGATAATACTTTAGATAGCTTTATATTTATATTCATGCTTAAGACTAATTTTCTCTTTTCTATGCATACCAGATAAGGTACAATGAATGACATCACAATCTGAACACATTTGACCTGACAACTTAACCCTACCTATCACTTCACCAGGTTACTGGCCAGGCCAGTTTTTAAAACAATTGTCCAAAAAATGAAAGGAGCATACTTTTTTTCTTTTTCTTTTTTTTCCCTTTTTCCCGCATATATTTTAGCTGGCAAGCAGGACACTGAAGTAAGAACCGACAAGATTGTCATACATATTAGAGTCCAAATCCAATATATAGAATTTTGAATATTATGCTTCGTGTTGTTTTTCCAAAAACTGAAAACTCATAAATGGAAAAACGCATTTTATTTTTCATGAAAAAAAAAAAAAAAAAAAAAAAACTTACTATTGTTAACTAACTGAATTGTAGGGTAGCATGACAGTCATATTAATCACAACACTAATTCATTAAATAAAAAGAAATCCTAATCCCCAAATCCCAAGAACTAGAACAACAGGAAAGCACAAACGCTAAGAGTAAGAAATAACTAGAATCATAAACATAAGTAATGGTACCAAATTTTAACAAAACAGTCCTAATTTTTGTTCAGAATCCAGTCCTAATTTTTGTTCAGAATCGTCAAATGTTTAAATATATCAAAGAAAGGATAAATAACAAAAATATTACCACAGCACCAGTGTCCATGTGACTGACATCTGCAGTTACACCAGGAGTGTTGACGACATCGTAGAGATGAAGAACAGAGACCAATGGATTCATCTTCATCAACATGGCCAAAGGCTGCCCTATGCCACCTGCAGCACCCAAGATCGCAACTCTGAATCCGGGTGATCCACCTTTTGCCCGGCAATTCTCCCTTCTCAAACCAGAACTTTCGTCCATCTTTGTCCACATTTTATAAACAATTTCAGTAACACCAAGACAGTAAACAACTGTTTCATAAAAAAGAAGGTCTAATCTTGTTTTTTATGAGACAAAAAGAGAGAACACCAACAACAATGATGTACAAATCCAGTTAAATCGTCAATAAGTATACTATAATCTCCAAACAGTTATAGATTCATCCACAGAGAACAAACGAGCAAGAAAATCAAAATCAAACCCATCCCAACGAAACAAAGACAATCCCAATTTTTTGTTTGGGGAGATCAGCCATAAATTTTACACTCTTTCTTCAACAAATCGGAGATTGATTGATGAAAAATAATTTTCCACTTAATAAAGCCCGATAAACTACAATTTAGATTAGTTTAGGTTTTCATTTCTTTTACACAGTTCTCTCAGTAATCAAACAAAATAAATAAGATACATATACAAATTAAGTAATATATAGATATAGATATATATATACACACACACAGAGACACGAAACAACACAAGTTGAATGACAAAGAAGAAGTGATACCTGTAGATTGGGAGGACAAAGATGAGCTGAAATTCGGGTAATCCTATGATTAACATCTGCACTGGAGGGCTGCATAATTTGTTGTGTGGATTATTGAAGCACAAAGATTGTCTCTTACGAGTCTGTTGTGATCTGTGAGAGAGAGACGGGTTTTAAATTGTAAATTTATAATGTTGGAATAAATACAAAGAAGCAAAGTGAGAACGAGGGTGAAGATGACGTTAGAGTTTGTATTGGAAAGTGTGGAAAGTGGATTTGGGTCCGATCCGAGCCTTATCCTAACCGAACCGCCACAAAAATGGCTATGCCCTTCGATGCATTCCAGTTCTTCAATCTCCTCATCATAATTACCGGCTTTCAAAGGTAAATGTTAGGCCCATTTTGGTTTGTAATAAATTGAAGGAAAAGAAAAGAAAAGAAAAGAAATAAAAACTGAAGGATATGATTTTATTTTTTGTGTTTGATATTAAAATCTTAAAGGTAATCAAACTAAAATAATAATAATAATTTTTTTTTTTTTTTTTTTTTTTTGTTCTTCTTAATATTAACAATAATAATAATAATAATAATAATGTATGAAAGGATAAATTAATAGTACTATGTTTAGTTAGATGGAATGATTGAAAAAAAAATAAGATGGGATGAGCATCCCTTCTAAGTTCTAACTTCTAACCCATGTTTTTGAAAAGAAAAAAAAAAGAAAAAAAAAGTTCTATTGGTCCAAAATTGGACAAGGTGGGAAAGAAAGGAAAGTTACTCTATAATTATAAGGACGGGCCTAAAAAATTATATAAGTACAATAATAGTAGTTTTTTTTTTTTTTTTTTTTCAATGGAAGTAATAGTGAAAATTTATAGATATATATATATATATATATATCAAAATGTAAAAAATAATAGGGTGTATAATATCAAAATAATAAGATTAACTCTTCTTCCCAGATGTCTCATCAATCCATCCCCCTACCTTATTAATCCATTTTTATATTCCTCCAGCCAAATGAAGCATAAAGTTTGAGGAGTTTGTTTTATTATCCTTGCAAAAATGGGAAGAATTGGAAGAAAAATCTAAACTTTTTAATGAAAAATTATTAATATCAATTTTGTCCTTATTTTTATAAAACACAATCTAAGGAAAAAAAGGTATGAAAGTAAATTTATTAAAATAGTTTTATTTATTTTATTTTCCCCAAACACAATTACTATTATATTCTTTATTTTTCTTCAAACACAATTATCTTATTTCCTTTCTTTTCTCTTATCTCATGACTAATGTTATCAATTTTTTTTTTTTTCCACGTAACTTTATCAGAATGGTTTTGACTACTGAAAAAATAAAATATTCAAAATTCAAAATCTGTTTATTTGAAAGCATTTTGTAAAGTGTTACCGAGTACTCTTTTGTACTAACTTTTTTAAAAAATATTACATCAAAAATATTAAAAATTTTATTTACTCTCTTTTTTTTTTTTCTTTTTTTTTTTGAGGGTTGGTTTTGGATATATTGAATTCAATACTTCGTGCTAAAAAATAAAAGAAAAAGAAAAATCAATAGTTCAATTTGCACATTTTTTTTCATTTTTGGTTCCATGTACCTCAAACGAGACCATATTTGCAAGTTGCATGATCCAACAAGATTCAGCTTTCAACTACTACGACAAACAGGGCTTAGCTTGAAGCTTGAACCATTCTCTGGCCTGTTTACTAATAGGAATAATTTCTAATTTTTATTATTAATTTTTAAAATTGAGAATTAAAAATAAAAATAATGTTTAATAAAATATTTTTACTTTTTTGTCTTAGGAAAGTACTTTTTTCTAAATTTATGAAGGGGAGAAAATTTATGAAGGGGAGAGAGAAATCCTCAATCTCTCTATTTTCTACACTGTTAATGAAAATTATTTTTTATACTGTAGCATTTAAAAAAAAAATCTAACTAGTCATCCGCCCAAACCATCTCCCACCTCCTCCCCACCACCATGGTCATTGCCACAGCTACCTCCTCCCACCATAGCCACCGCCACAAACCATCTCTCTCCTCTCTCATACACACCATCAACAATATACCCAAATCAACATAAAAAATAAAAAATAAAAAAAACAAAACAGACCCTCGTCGTCGACGACCACCGCCACCATCGCCATTGCCGACAACCACCTCCATCATCGCCACTTCCGAGAACGCCTCTCTCTCTCCTATGTCTCTCTTTCTCTCTCTACAAATACTCGTTTCCCACGGATCTATTGTCGATGGCGAAACCCAACCTCAAAATCAAAGGATTCAACAGAGGAATCTCCGTCGGGTGGCTCGAATTCGTCAAAAGAAGAGCAATTTGAGGCTCAAATCAACTAGGAGGAAGATGAGGAAGAGAACGTTGTCGCCGGTGTTGACCAACGCTTTACTAGGCTTGGTTCTGCCGGAGCAACCAACCTATACGGGAACACCCAAAACAACATATTATAAAAGAGCAAATCGACAACTTCAAGATCACCAGCGGAGCCATCAACACCCTTGCAGATGGCGTCAAGGGTCACTCACTCCCTCTGGCATCACTGAAAAAGATCACAGACTGCTTCGTCGATTCGAATGGACAAGTCGTGAAACTCCTTCTCGATTGCAAAATTGACATATTGAAGAATGATGGCATGTTCGATCTTGTGAAGGACTACTTCGATTACAGTGGTGAGATTGGAAACAGGTTCGGCGATATATTGAAGCATTGATGATATATATATATATATACAGAGAGTATATAACATTGATTGTAATTTAGAAAATAACATTAAAATTATAATTATTAAATTTACTTTTTAATTTCTTGCGTTGAAAATATTAAAAGTATAAAAAATTAATAAACATAATTCTATTTTATATTTCAGATTCAGAAATGAAAATTATGATTTTATTTTTTAAGAAAACAAAATAAAAAAGTGAAAACGTTTAGGCCCTAAAAGAATAGAGTAGTACTGTAGTTACTTGGATTGGGCCGTCACTGACCAGTCGGTCCAGCCCTCGATTCCTGGAATTTCAAGTCCAATACCGAAGAATTGTGGGCAATCCATCCACAAAACTTATGAAGATTTTTAAATGTTTTGAACGCCACTTTCTTTGCTATTCATGATTCGGCTCTTTCCATGAATGGGCAGTTTTATCCATCCAGCGAACTCTCCTCTGCAAAAAAAAAAAAAAACTCTCTTGTGAATTCATTATTAGTTAAAATATATATATATAATTAATATGTGTATATTTATATATATATTTTAAGATTTTTGATTACCAAGTTAAAATTTTCAAAGTTGTCTTACAAAAAAATAAATAAATAACAAGTTCATTTATATTATTGTTAAGGAATTACAGGTTTGTTTGGCTTGTAATTATAACAACAGTTCTCAAGAATTCAGATAATAAAATTATTTTTAGAGAATTATAAAAAATAGTTATTTAAAAATAGACTTTTTTTATAACTAAATTTTTAAAAAAAAGATTTTTAAAAAATTAAATTAAGTAGAGTTTTTTTATATATAATTTTCTATTTTCAATTTTTTAAAAATAACAAACTATTCACAAAGTTGCGAAGTAAACAAACTCTAATATTTCCATACACTTTTTAAATTTTATACTATGTCTCTTGAATTTGTCTACGGTTCACTTGATCAAATTTTTTTTATTATTATTATTGTAGGGATCCATGATATTCTGTTTCTAACTCGTCCTATTGACACAGCGGCCAACAAGGCAGTTGAATCACTTAAGGACCAAGATTTTGCCAGTTGGTACTCTATAACTCTTATCCACAAGTTGTGTCTTTTTTGGGTGGGATCCAATTTCTTGTGGTACCAATGCCATTATGTCAATGTGAAGTACCCACACAAGTAATGTTTCAGTAGACACACGCAATCTCTTTATTTGAGGTTGGTCCAAGTCTTTTTCCAAGGCCAACTTGAGTACCGAAAGAAATTATGATATTCCAGTGGCTTTTCCGAGTTTTCACGCTTGGAGTATTTCGTAATTGTCAATGTGTTAATGCTATGTTTGAAAGCATCTCGGTGTTTGGGTTTGGAATTGAAATTTTTTTTAATTAAATTGCTTTTAATTCTATATTCAACTCCATGATTCAATACTTTCAAATGTAACATGTATTGAATTAATTCGAAGTCAAATAACCAAAATCCCTTCCAAATGAATTATAATTTTTAAGCTTAACAAAAAAATTAAGCTAGTTTTTTAGTAAGCGAATTAGAGGATCATTTCAAATTCAACTTCCAATTAATTGTTTTTAGAAGGGAATTATAAATCATTTGGTTAATTTGACAATTCACATGATTTGATAAATTATGTGTTTGGCAGCACTGAATCAGTGCCATAGATTTAGAATTAGAGAAAATTTAATATAAATTTTGACCGATTCAATGCTCCAAGTTAGACTTGTAAACATGTCGGATTCAGATCGAATAAGTGTTGATTCGATCTTAATCTGATAAGGCTATGCTCGATCCAATCCGATTCGATAATCCGACTGATATTTTTTGAATAAATCCATATCCGATTTGTTAATAAATGAATATCCGATCCGATAATCCAGTATGATCCGATAAGGGAGTGTGTGTACAAATTTTTTTTTTTTTAATATATATAAAAATTATGTCAAAAGAGGATAAAAATAATTTTAAAAGATAAATAAAATATGAAAAGAAAATTATATATTTTATTCTTTGTTAAAGAATAAAAATTTTGGAATAAATAAAATAAAAAGAGGAGAAAATAATGAAATATTTTGATAATATATAAATATAAATTAGATTATAAAATCAGATTATAAGCGTTTAATATATTATATAATATATTATTTCGGATCAGATTATTATCAGATCGGTTCAGTCATAATCCATATCCGATTTGTTTAATTAACAGATTATCGGATTCGGATCGTTAACAAGTTATCGGATTAAATCTTTAATCCATATCTGAGTTATCGGATTGGCTTCAAATCAAAATCCGATCCATTGAAGGTCTATCCCACACTCAAACATAACATAAAGAGATTTTTATTGAGGGTTTGAAATTCACTGCATGCCATGAGCCTAAAAAACAAAGTCTATCTAAACAATGCCTCTCTGTAATGGATGATGATGCCTTGACTTTACGCTTTAGATAGGTCTAGGGAATGTCAAATGGACTTGTTTTGTCACCTTTTAATTGGAATCATGACACCATTTTAGTAAGAGTGAAGGATAAAAAGGAGAAATAGATAGAAGAAGAGAGTTGATCCCTAC